CAAAAATTACTTAAAATCTCAACTGCCTCTTAAAAAAGGATGAATCTTACCATTAAAGAATTCGTCTAACCTTTTGCTGTTCCATTTTGTAGCTAATCATGTGGGTGATCTTGACTAAAGGTAGACCTGGAAAGAAAGGGGTGAAGGGGAGAGTGCTGTGTCCTTCTGCCCTATAGAATGAGCAGCTCCTGGGGCAGAATGATGGGAAGTTGGGGAAGAGCAATGGGGAGAGAGAGGCAGAGGGGGTTGCTGGCACAGTGGCCAGAGGTAAGGGCTCTCTGAGGCCCAGGGCAGTGACTGAAAAAGCCTCATGAGTCCCATTCCCAATAATTAAAGCCCAGATTTTTTTTGAGGGCAGTGATTTTTATTTCAAAAAGACATATTCTTTACTGTAGAGGCTGAAGCAATAAAAGGGACCCCAGTTAATTCAGTTAAGATTAAAACAATAATCAAATGAATCTGTTTAACCAAAAAACCAAATATCCAATTATTTAACAGAAAAATATCCATTTCTAACACAAATAACGGGAGCTCTTACTTTACACTGTTCCATTTTTCACCTGATACATCTTTTTGTTGTGATAGAGAACATAAATTAGAAATATTCACAACTTGTCCCTGCTAATCTCCAAAGAAGGAAAGGCTGTTGGTTTCAGTAGTGGGTTCTTTTTTTTTAATTGTATCTTTTTTTTTTTTTGTACACAATATATCTATTTTATTTATTTATTTTTATGTGGTGCCGAGGATCAAACCCAGAGCCTTGCGCATGCTAGGCAAGCACTCTACCGCTGAGCCACAACCCCAGCTCTAATAATGGGTTCTTGTTCTAATCAGGGTAATACCTGAAGCTGCAGAAGAAGAGAGTGTATTGGATCACCATACAGAAGACAGGAAATGGAGCTACTCAGGTTGTGGGGATAAGGAGGGGAAAAAGTATCCGGTAGGAGGGGGGTGGTGAGCTAATATAGGAATGAAGTAAATATTTATTGATACTATGTCTAGAATTCAGTGTCATGCATTGTAAGTAAAACTGCTTTCAAAGTGCTTTCTATACATTCAAGTTATTTGCTAATGTATACTCATTCACCAATTGGTGTACACTGAAAATATATACAGATAGATTACCAGTTCATAAAAAGAGATACACAAATCCCCAGCATGGGTTCGTTCAACTTACCTGGCCTCATACCAGGTGGTGAAAACCTGGATTTACTGGTTTTTGAGACCTTGGCCTGGCCCATATTTTCTTATTGATTAATTTCTAAAATGGTTGAAACCCAGTGGACTAAATTAGAGTTTATGTGAAGTATTTTAAAATTTTAAGACATTATCATTTTAGAAAGTATTAAAACCAAATTGTGTTTTATTGGCATAAAATTTTTAAGGAAGACATGGATTCAAATCTCTTTGCAACACTTTCTAGAAGGTAATGCTAAGAATGCTACCTAATATTTCTTATTTTTTCATTTTCTATTTTGCAAAGTGAGACTATCTCATAAATTGTTGTAGGAATAAAATGAGAGGTTTATAAAGCATTTAGCATGATTCCTGGTCCATGGAAAGGTCTAAGAAGCAAACATAAAAACAACCACACCCATAATCATAAGGCTTGAAATCAAATGGTTTAAATAGTTTTTCAGACAAAAATCAACCAACCAACCAACCAACTAACCAACCAAATTAAAAACAAACAAAACAAAACCACAGACCTAACTAGAATCTGCAACTCCAGGAATTTCAATTTAACAAGTTTGTACTGATGTAAGTGAAATTTAGTTCACAAATGTATTAATTTGTATTCCTGTATGTAGATGGTGTTGCATTTGAATAGATTTAATTCTTGCCCCACCTGAAACTTAAGTCCAAATTCACAATAAGGACATTATAAAATTGTTAGCCATCTTCAAAAATGTAAGTAGTCATACTAGGTACTTCTGTAGTCTGCATATTGGTAAGTTAACTCTCCCATCTTACTAAAGTGGGTAGTTAAGCCAGTATTGTCCTATTTCAAGTACTCATCAAGTTAGAGTTCTGTTCTGGGAGTTTCTGTCTTTTCCCTTCTTCACAGTTAGAGAAGATAATTTCTAGAACTTATGCCAGTGCGAGGATCCAAAGCACAGTCCAGGTGGTCTTATAAGTGCCCATGGGAATCTGAAAATGAGGACCCTGTCAGCTGGGCCAGTCCTTGGCAAAATTCTAAAGTAGATAAAGCAGATTCATTTCCTTCTTCATCACTTGTTCCATGCCTATGTAAGTACTAAGTAAAAGGATTATTTTGTTTAACGACATTTTTTAAGTGATAAGTAAAATATTTGCTGATAAGGGTTTTTGATACAATTCATTCTGGGGAATTTTTTTTAACTTTTAAGTTTGAAGTGATAATAGACTCAGAAGAAGTTGCAAAAAAAAAATCACAGAGTAGTCCTAGGAATGCTTCACCCAGTTTCCCTGTTGGTAAAATCAGACATATATATAGTACATTATCGAAACTGAGAAATTAACATTGGTACAATAAGATTGACTGGACTACATACAGAGGAATTTTTAAAGAATGAAACATTCTCAAGGCTAAAAGGATATCTTAATGTCACCTCTGTCTGTGAAAATCTTAGCTTTGGCACCTGTCTTATTGAATGGCAGTCTGGATTAATGTGCTGTTTTACTCTACCCCTTCAGAGCAGGAATCCTGCTGTATTCACCCTTTATTCCTATTACTTATTAAAGTACCTGGCATTCAATAACTTTTTTGGTTAGAGGAATGACTAATAGATATTTACATCTATAAAGGGTGTTATGGTTTTTGAAGCCCATTTATGCATGCTATCTCTCCTGAGAGTGATCATGGTCTAGGTGAAAGAGAATGAACTGAAAGTATTCATTAGCTTGAGTATTGTGACAAGGCACTAAATGTCCCTGGGTCATACATTTTCATGTGCATAATTGTATCTGCATGACAGTTTTAAAGATTTAAATAGGCAGATGGGGGCTCTGGGAGGTAGATAGGGTAAAGTATTTGATTGCCATTTTACAAAACAAACTCAGAGAGGGTAAATTAATTGCTGAAAATCATAGAACTAGTACATGGCCATGCAGCTAAGCACCTCATTCATGATACCATGTTGTCTTTGCTGAGAAACAGGAGAGTGGTCTAAAACAAAGAAAAGCAAACAAGCAGCTATGGGACAGTTGCAGAGGTTTAAGAATTTCTCCTTATGTGTGGTTGTTGATTTTCTTTGCTATGTGTACAGAAAATCTTCACTTAGAAGGGGGTGGTGTGATGGGCTCCATTAAAGTTAAGCCAAGGTTGTGGGTTGTTGTTTCAGGGATCCCTGCTAAATGCTTCTCACCCTAACACTCAACTAATACCACCAAGGAATCTTGCTTGTCCAACTCTGCAACCAATGCTTATGTTCTCAGTCCCTGTAGAAAGCATGAGAAGATGAGAATTTGGAACTCTTGAGTACTCACATTATATTCAATTTTTTTAATTGAAAGGGAACTTAAATTTAAAAAGATGGAGGGTTTTGACATTCTTATTATGTTTTCCTATTTTCTGCTTATGAAAATAACTTCTTATTAACCAAAGAGTACATGCTAACATGGAACTTTTTCAATAACCTAAAATGACTTAGGGATATACTGACCAAAATTGCCCCACAGCCAGCCTTGAACACCTTCACATGCCCTAGAACCCTCCTTACTAGAAATGCCTATTGGAGAAATATTCCTCTGGATTAGTCAATCTATTAGTTTCACTGAAAAGTAATAGGCGATGGTAAAATTTGTTAATGATTTGCAAGGACTGTTGGCTGCAAATTTCAAAAGTTCTGGTGCCTTCAACATTGAGTTATAATTAAAAACATTAATTTTTTTTTGTTGGTGGTTTGCAATTTGACTTTTCTTCCCTCCAGTTAAAAAATGGGAATGCCAATAATCAAGATCAGAGCTTCAGAAAGCTAGGACTAAAACATTTCTCCAGGATTCTCAGTAGTTTTTTTGGTTTTGATACTGTCCCAACCTTTGACCATTTAGGGGAAGTATTCTAAAGGTAAAGAGGAGAGAAGAAAAAAAAATAGCTGTAGTGTAGTGCAGGCTATTAGAATTAAGAGACATAACATTGAGAGTTACCCAGAGAATTTCCTCAATAAAATATCTTTGTGTAAACAAAACTTTTGCAAACTCTTCAAAGATTAGAGGAATATAAACATCCTCACGGGTTATAAAATTTTGGAAGCTCACACTCCTAGAATCCTAAGGTATTAAGGATACTCAGACAGTTTCTTTCTTCGCTTGTCTTTGACTTTCTGATGGTTTATTACCTAAGAAGCAAAGACACATTATTTCTACCTACATACAATAATTCTAATGAGGCTTGATGCATAATGATTCTTTTCCTTGAATTTAAAACAGGATTTTTTTTTTTCTTGAAAGATAAACCATGACACATATAGAGGAAGAAAAATTTGGTATTTGGAACTCCTTGTGTGCCTATGTTTTTCTTTGCCCTGAGTTTTGCCTTGTTTTTCTTTCAAGGAATAGTGAGAAACCTGGCTAAATAAGAAGAGTGCTAGGGCAGCATCTCTCTGTGTGGTTGCACACCCATGAGGCAAAGCATTACAACTACACAGAAACTGGAACAAATGTCAGGACTTCCTCAGGATATTTCCATGGACATCTCCTTGGACATAATTTCTTTAAGGACTGATACACTTTAAACATAACATCACTTAAATTATCAGTTATATAAATTGGTTGTAATGACTCATAGGTTTATGTGGCATATGGGTCTTGCTGAATATTGATAATGACAAAATATTCCAGTTTTCAATACAAATTCCAGGTATGTACTAAGAATAATAATTCTGAAGCAAGACTAGAATTTTATCAGAAAGTGAATTTTTAGCTTAAAAACATGAATGTAAGTAATGATGAACATTCATACTTGTGATTATTTTACAAAATACTTAATATATATAAAATAAGATGCTAAGCATACTTACAATATTTTCCAATCACTAAGATGTAGACGAAGACAGGACCAGATGCCATTTCCTTCTTTCTGAGGAACTGATTAATGAAAATGAATAAAATTTGTCTTGGTTCTGAGTCGGGTACAGCTCACGGTGGTTGTGTGCTATTTCTGTCTGCAATCTTAGCAGCTATAAAGCGATCCTCCCTCCTTTCTCTCTCTCTCTCTCTCTCTCTCCATTCCCTCTTCTTTTCTTTCTTTCTCTCTCTCTCTCTCTCAGGATCTTTCCTCCCCGCCCTCTTTCTCTAAAAGTCTTAATATTCTTCTTTACACATACATGTGCACATGCACATACAAACGCAGGCAGAGCTGAGCAGCAAGGAAAAGTTTCAGACAGAGAACACACAGGCTCTGTTCCCTCTAAACATCTTGTTTCTGTGTCCTGCGACAGTCTACAAATAAGGGTGTGTGTGAACACCGACAAATGTCTGCTCTGATCAAAATCACACTTCTAGAGAGAAAAGGAGCTCGAGATAGATTCCCAACAAAAACACACGATTTTTTCCCCCTTGACAAGTGATGAGGAAAAGAACAGAGCTACGCAGAGCAAAATGCCTTTGTGGAGTGAACGATAGGGCGGGAATTAAAGTGTAACTACAGCAGTCTTCTGTAATTTGTGTTTGGAAATTCAAACAATAGGACATGGTTGAGAGAAAAAACACAGAGGAATTAAAAAAATACATCTAAAATTCTTCTGAATTCATGAATTTATCTACAGTAAAGATTGTGACATGTCATTGGCTGTGGAGTAATTTTCTGGGTTTGCTTTGTAGGTGCCTTGCCACTTTAGAGCTGTGTAGAAGCTTGGCTGAGCCTTAGCTTTCTGGAGGAAAATATTGAAGACTAGTGCAGGTCTAGTGCATACTAGGTGATTACTAAATGGCAGACATTTATATGATGATATTTATAGTTTGACCAGCAGTGGGGAAAAAACGTGCAAATCCCAAGAACACTTCTGTGAAATGCATTTCCTTTAAACCAGAATATATATTTTTTGTTTTGCAACTTGAAAATGTATTTCTACAGTAAATTGGTAGCACATGGATATGAGGAATTTGTTTGTGAGGTTAATACCCACTACTTGTAGATTCTACAATCTATTTAAATTTCATATTTTTGCATCATTAACTTCAATAAGAAGCCTATTTCTAAATAGTGTCTAAAAGATTATCTTAATAACCCTCCCACCATCAATATCATTCATTCCATGAAAAAAAGTAATCCCCAAAGGACTAAAAAAAGAGCATACTACAGTGACTCAGCCACATCAATGTTTATAGCAGCACAATTCATAGTAGCCAAACTGTGGATCCAACCTACATGCCCTTCAATAGATGAATGGATAAAGAGACTGTTTGTTTGTGTGGGTATATATACACACACACACAATGGAATATTACCAGGAATAAGAGAGATAAAATTATGGCATTTGCAGGTAAATGGATGGAGTTGGAGAATATCATGCTAAGTGAAGTAAGCCAATCCCCCCAAACCAAAGGCTGAATTTTTCTCTGATAAGTGGATGCTAATTCATAATGGGGAGTGGGGACATGGAATGATTGAAGGAACTTTGGATTGGGCAAAGGGGAGGGAGGGGAAGAGAGGGGGCCTGGGGGTAGGAAAAATGGTGGAATGAGACAGATATCATTATCCTAGGTTCATGTATGATTGCATGAATGGTGTGTCCCTACTTCGTGTACAACCAGCAAAATGAAAAATTGTGCTCCATTTATGTACAATGATAGAGTATCCTGCTGTCATGTATAACTGATTAGAACAAATAAAAAAGTAATTAAAAATTACTGTGGAGTAATTTTCTGGGTTTGCATTGTAGATGGCCTGCCACTTTAGAGCTGTGTAGAAGCTTACTTCTTAAAAAAAGTAATTCAATACTGGCATCTACACGAATCCATCTTCATTTAAGATTTACTTAATGAAGACAATTTCTTTTGGTAAGAAATGTTTATAGTTAACTGAATTTAAATGCCCACTAAATATTTGGTATTTTAAATAGTACTTGAAATGTTTTAAGAGGATTTGTGAGTGGCTAGTGGATAATTTAATATTTTAAAAATACTTTTTCCTGGAAGGATGCTTTGAGACATATGAAGGGCAATGTCTAAAGAAGGACCCATTGAAACCTTTCAGTAACAAAGCTGAGGAACTTACTTTGGAAATTATCCCAGTGTAAAGGAAATTACAGATGCAGAGGTTTTCAGGCTTAAAAAATTGTACACATACGTGTGTACAATTAGTGGGCCAAGAGCCAGAAAGTACTTTGTAATTATTTATCTTTAATTTACTCAAATTATCAGTGCAAAATTTCAAAATCACTTCTCACTTTAATTAAGAATATAAAAGGGTAGGCGCGATGGCACATGCCTGTAATCCCAGCAGTTTGGGAGGTTGAGGTAGGAGGATTGTGAGTTCAAAGCCATCCTCAGCAACCTAACGAGGCCCTAAGCAACTCAGCGAGATCCTGTATTTAAATAAAATATAAAAAAGGGTAAGGAATATGGCTTGGTGTTTAAGCACTCCTGATATATATATATATATATATATATTTAATTCTTGGTATATATATATATATATATATATATATATATATATATATATATATATATTGAATTTTATAAAAATAGGTATTTACTTGAAGAAGTAATTTTTGATGTCTGTGGGATGCCACTTCTTTCTTAGTTTTAGCCAGGCAGGGAAGAATCTGGAATATTAGTTTTATATAAGTATATTGGTGGGAGAAAACCAAAAGTGAGCATAGAGAGCCCTTTCCATTTGCAGCTGTACTGTTGGTAACCCTGGGCTGGAGGATTCTTTTTTGTGAAGGCTGTTCTTTGCCCTGTTGGATATTTAAAAGCATCCCTGTCCTCTACCAACTTGGTGAGGTTAATACTCTGCAGATGTGAAAATTAAAGGTGTCTTCAGACATTGGCAAATACCCCTTGGGAACAGGAAGCAAATTCACTCCTGATTAAGAACTAATGCTTTGTAGCCAAATACTCCCTTGAATAATGATTAGTATTGATTTAGCCAGATTATTGAATAGAATACTTTGTACCTAAAATTTGAGTTAAAATATATTTCTCATTTTCTTGTTTTGCAGTTTGAAGATGTACATTAAAACAAACATATGGCATGTGTTCTCAGCCTTCTCTTCCTGCCCACATTGTTCAATTATAAACTTGCATTAAGGACCTGATAGAATCTGTGATGTTAATGCCTTCCCTTTGGCTGAGCATTGTCCAAGTTTTCTACCAGATTGAATCAAGCCAGACAAGCATTATTAGCCCATCTAATCTAGATCCACAGTAACCTGTGGTTTCCCATCTTATCATGACTGAAGATCTCTGTGTTCTTTTGTGCACGATTCTGAACCTATCAGCGACCATCATTTTCAACAGTGAAAACAGCCATTTTATTAAATATTATTTTTGATTGTAGACAGGAATTTCATAGAGCAAGAGGTTGGGAAAATCTCAGTCAAAGCCTTATGATGCAGAGATATTCAAGTAATAGTTCACCAGCCACAAATTAAGTATATCAAGTACAATCTGAGGGCAAAACGTTCATGCCATCAAATTGTTTATCCTGTGGATCCATTTCTAGTTGACAGATGTCAGTCAAGCAAGACTCTTAAGGTGCTCATCTAAGTCACATCCAAAGACAATTTTAGCTATCTTGATTTAGTATCAATTAAATACATGAGAAATGAGATGGCCTTTGGAGAAAGATATTAAGCAAAACATACAATTAGGATAGAGCAACTAATAGGCACAGAGATTTCAAAAGATGTTTTACCCCAAATATAAACAATTGTGTCTCAGATAAAAGTAACCAGGAACTATTATGACGTTTTAGCAAAAAATTAACCAATAAGTAGCAAGCCAAGCCCCAGTTCATATGTTGTCATGCATCCCATTGATGGTTATAATAGGAACATAGAATGTAGTGACCCTCTGCAAAATTGATAGTGTGAAGAATATGATGGCAGGAGCAAGAAGCAAAACTCTCTCTCTCTCTCTCTCTCTCTCTCTCATCTATTCATCTATCAATCCACCAATCCATCCATCCATCCATCCATCCATCTGTCTATGCATCTATCATCTTGAGCAGTAATACAAATTGATGGCATTTGTTAAGTGCAAACTCTTTTTGTAGAAATTACTATTATTAACCTTGACTTACTTGGTTCCCTCAAACTTTTACAATAGAGACTCATACTATCTAGATTATGCCTGTCTTGTTCAAGACTGACAGTGAAAAGGAGTGATTTAGTCTGTTAGATAACAGTGTCGACCTTGCTTTTTCGTGTCTGGTAAGCTATGCTCTCAGCTAGGAGTCACCTTCCTTGGATCTTCCCCACAAGCTCATTATGCTAAGTCATTAAGCTTCAGTTACTTCAGATTTCTTGGGTGAATTGCAACTCCCCTGCCACAACAGAAGCCTTGCATCTAAGCTCTTCTCACTTGCCTAGGATTTAACTTACTCTTTGCCCCTGGGATCGGCCCTACAGGAGATTTAGTGCTCTTTGCCCTAATCCCAGTCTTGTTCCCTCCAGGCGCTATCAGTCTGCTGCCGATGCCTCTGCATGCCTCATCTGAGACGACTTGACTTATATAAGGGTTATCTCCTACAAGTTGGGAGTCAGAATAAATTAGAAAAGTGAAAGAGACTTGTTACAGAAGTGCCAGGAGCATCTTGGGAACTGGAGTCTTAGTTCTGTTATTAATTAGACACATAACATCTGATAAGTAACTTAAAAGCTCTGGTCTACAGTTACCTCACTTGTAAAATGAAAAGTCGATCTTTTAGATGCAAAACAGCTATGCTATTTTGTGAAATATGATATTCTGCTTCAAAGTAATTTATAAATTAGCTATGGAGACAGAGGCACATACATGAATTGCCCAAAGTATATGTTTATCAAATATCTCTATTAATTCAAATAAGGATGCCATTAATATAATGTTTAAAGGAGATACGAAAGGGTATTGGAAAGACAGGTATAGAGAGCCTGGTAGGGCCACCCATGGAGGTTTTCTGCAGAAGGAAAGATGTGCTGTGAGGGTAGAAGGCAGAGAAGCACATGGATGGAGACTTCACATTGATGGAAACTAATGTGAACAACATTTTGTATCAGAGACAAATGGGAGCAAAGTATGAGCATGTGCAAATGGCTAGTTGAGATGGGCCTAGCACCAGAAAATAACAGAAATTATTGAAGAGCTAGAG